CCTCAACGTCCTTCTTGTGGTGAGGGGCCCAAAACTGAACACAGTATTCGAGGTGCGGCCTCACCAGTGCCGAGTACAGGGGCACGATCACTTCCCTACTCCTGCTGGCCACACTGTTTCCGATACAGGCCAGGATGCCATTGCCTTCTTGGCCGCCTGGGCACACTGCCGGCTCATGTTCAGCCGGCTGTCGACCAACACCCCCAGGTCCTTCTCTGCTGGGCAGCTTTCCAGCCACTCTTCCCCAAGCCTGTAGCGCTGCATGGGGTTGTTGTGGCCAAAGTGCAGGACCCGGCACTTGTCCTTGTTGAACCTCATACAGTTGGCCTCGGCCCATCGATCCAGCCTGTCCAGGTCCCTCTGCAGAGCCTTCCTACCCTCGAGCAGATCAACACTCCCGCCCAGCTTATTTGCTTAATCAATCATGCAAACAGTACTACCTGTAATCTAATCCAAAGATATCACTGCATAACTGTTAACTGACGATTTTACATAATCTACTTCAGGCCTAAAGCATGTATTTGTACAGTATCCATCATTTTTTCCTACTAAGATTTAAAAAGTGCTATATTCTGTTAAAGCTATGATAATTATTTTATTTTACAGTCTAGCCCCAGTGTAGCTGTGAGCTGTTCAAAAGATGCCGGATGCATTTGCAGGATACAACAGGTGAGAGTCAATCAGTAATTGCTGATGACAGATCTACAAAGGAAATACCTTCAAGTATATGAGCATATGAAGACAATCACCTGGCCCAAAATTTGCAGTGCATTTTACACTGATCATGTCCACAACTTAGTATCAAACCATCAAATTTTTGTGACAGCAAATATTCAACTCTAAGTTAATATAATTTCTAGAAAGTTGGACTTAACTATTGCAACTGAAATTTCTCATTCTTCTATACTACTACTAGCACCACAAATCTTGTGCTTTGCAGAACAAATGAAGACTTTACTCTTTTTAAAGAAAGTTTAAACAATAACAGTGATAGGAAAGTGACAATAAAAACAAAATTACACTACAGTGAGAAAAAATAGATTAAAATTACCTATTCAGGGATACTGGCATTGAGAAGAGTCATAGGTGAGGGAAAGTTTTAAGAGGCCCTTTAAGGCAGCATAAAGCCTCACAGGATCAGAGACGAACTATATAGTTACATATTATGCTAGCAATTACAACTCTTTCTTCCCTATCATCCTGCCAAAAAAAGAGTAGTCAGCTTGCCTGGTCCTTTTCAGAATCAACAGAACATCAAACACTCCATGAAATCCACAATTTAATTAGTCAGATATTTTATACAGGATGCATCTTAAAATGAAAAACATAACTCATGAACTGCTGGGTTTTAATCTGGAAAAATCACAGGGTTACCAGTATTTCCATCTAGAGGAAGGGATCTGGATTTTCTGCCTAAACACACTGCTGCTACTCTAACAGTATTCAAACAAATAGAAGTTACCATACATATTGAACCCACAAAGGAAAAAAAGAATTCCTTACAATTCCCACATGTGCATAAGCTGGCAGCCTAAAACCGTAAAACTTGAGACTTCCCTACATACTCTATCATATTTTCAGTAACTTGTCAAGTTCATAGTCTGTGCTGTTTTGTAATGAACCACTTTACACTAAAAAAACCCTTCTCATAATTTAAATTTATCATCTTGTTTAAACTGATTTAAACTCAACCAAGAAGCTTTAAAAGTAATAATAAGAGTTTGCATAATGACTTATTTTATAGAAAAAGGAAGTACAGGAAAATTAACTACTCTCTGAAAATAAAATTAATTATGTAAATTTTATTAAATAGTTACTCAAAAGTACATTTTCCATATATTTTCTAAGATGTCTTCTGCTTTGTAGAAATGTTTTCAATTAAAAATCTCAATGCACAATGAAAAAGTGACT